GCAATGGGCAGAAACTGAAACACAGGAAGTTCCATCTGAACCTGAGAAAAAACTTCTTCACTGTGAGGGTGACCAAACACTGGAAGAGGTTGCCCAGAGAGGTTGTGGAGTCTCCTTCGCTGGAGATATTCAAAACCCGTCTGGATGTGATCCTGGGAAACATGCTCTAGAGGAGCCTGCTTGGGCAGGGAGGTTGGACTAGATGATCTCCAGAGGTCCCTTCCAACCTCAACCATTCTGTGATTCTGTGAATCTGTTCTGATTACACAGATGCTCCTTGAAATTGTTGCTGCCTTTGCTCCAAAGCCTGCTGACTGAGCAGTCGCTGTTGTTTCTGTAGAAACTGGACCACTTCTGGACTTCTTAGAAGGGACTTGAAGAAAGAAAAAGTGTATTTTACATTAAAGAACTCAGACACTAAGTACATATCATATTGATATTTATATTATTTTTCCACTAAATCAATTTGCACATTGCCCATGTAAGAGTTAAATGTTGAGGAATTACAAAACATGTTCACAAAAACATGTCAAAGTTAGAAGCCTAAAACCAAGAAACTGTTTCATGACATCAGTAGCTAACCAGGAGCAGCATTCATGCACGTTCTGAAAGCGGATTCAGAACTTAAAAGAAGATACATTACAAAAAACATACACGGTAGCAAATAGAAGTAATCTACGGGCATACAGAAAACAAACGCCTTTCAATTCTGCTTCCGTGCTGAGCTGACTTCTAGATTCTCTACTGCAGATGCTTCAAAAATACTGTAATAACAGAGCTTATGTTCACTGAGCATTCCATAATTTCCCAACCTTTTAGAACACTAGTCCAGTCAAAAGGAATGAGTTAAAAACTTCTGCCTTCAGTCAAAGGACAAAAGTATCTAAAGCTATTTGCATCTCATTGTCTAGCCTAGAATAGAAAAGCTGGTTAAAATTGATTAGACAAATACAGCTGGGAAGTTGCACTGTTCAGAGACAACAGAAGTAACTATCACTGGGCACCAGCTTTTAAAAGAACGTTTCTCTTAAGCCATCTTAGATGAAACTGAAAGACAAAAGAATTGTTACAATGGAAAGCAGAACCAGAGAAACAAGCTTGAAGCTGCGGATGGACATTTGCCAGCAGTACTGCTGAAACTGGCCTGAGCATTTGCAGTCTGCAGTCTAACTCTGATAGTTCATTCTCAGTCCTGCACAATGGCAGCACATGTGTCTGTGAGGCCATATGGCAAATCAGATTGGTATAATTTATCCATTCAAAAATTAATGCATAAAACGGTTATTTTTCAGCTGCATTAATTCTTTGGTTTGGTTGCTCGTTTTGCACGGTCATTCCACTGATGCAACCAAAGAGCTTACAGTATCACAACTCTGAAATCCCAATTCAAAAGAACCAGTAACGTCGAGGGCAAGATCCAGATCTGCAAGATATCAGGAGGCAACAGGAGACAACTCTGCAGAGATTACAAGTGAAAATAAAAAAATCTGTGCATAACTTACACCTCCAGCAGCACTGAACAGGCAAGATAAGCAAGGATGCTACTAAAAAAGAGTTACTAGCAAACGGGCTTACCAAATGGATGTATGGCCCTTTTTTCCACAGCTTATATCAGCTTTCTCAGATCCCCTCACTGCAACAGGATAGTTCTGCAGTTCTTTATCTACTGCTGTTTTATGACATTTCAGTACATCTTCTCCCATTTGCCTCCTCCCCACAACTGTTGCAGAAGTGGGAGGCCAGCTTCAGAGTTCTCAGCATGAATCCCTCAGAACTGCCTCCTGCAGCTGCCATTTCTTACCAGCAGCCTCTCTGTCCACAGCTCCACAAATCCTTGCTTCTCATGCCCCTTGCCTCGGCTTTCTACGTTTTTATCCAGTGCAAGCTGCAATGCCGTTCCAGTTGCATACCCAGGCACAAATCGGCCGTACACAGAAGCCACTCCTCACGGAGAATAACACAGCATACAAAAAAGTTACAAGTATTATTTATCCTAGAGATTGTCTCTTCTGTGCATATTTTAACCTTGTGGACAGCACAAAGTACTTTCCACTTTTACGTGATAAATCTGCAGGACCGACAACATGCAGTAACTTTCATGTGTAGGCACGGAGCAGCCTTGGAAGCAAACACACTGCAGAAATTCTTTCTAGGTCATCACGTATTCCCCAGGCCCTGTGTTGTGCAGGTATGCATAGAACAAAGAAGTAATTCTAGACAGAATAATACTGAACAACAGAAACCAAGCAGGAAAGGCAGATCAAGAGGAATCTGAACCTCACTTCCCCAGAATATTGTAAGGAAGCCTCAATTCTTGAAGAGCCTTGACACAATTCTGTTCAAAAACTCCCAATATCTATTTAGTTTAAGAGCTTCTCATTGCTATATTTGTAGAAAAAAATATCATTTCATTAATAAGAAACTTTTCAGATTTAATTAAAAGCCATATAAATATGATCAACAAGGAAAATGGACAACTCAGTAAGCAAGGCATGAAGAACAACAAATAACGTAAAAAACTAAACTTCATAATTTTTTTTACTTTTTTCTTGTTGAAATTGAAAAGCCAAAGACATCCCTCCAAGTTTTAGAAGTAAACATTAAATAGGTGCCTTTACTGAGGAAATATTCAAGAAAAGATTTCTACTTTTCTAGAAATCTATAATAATATTTCTATGACTTTTCTTTAAAGACTTACTTTCAAATTTCTGAAGAGCACTACCACACTTTAATGGGGATTGTTAAATTGCTTTGCATAGCTAACAGAGAAAACATGCAAATAGTTCTATCAGCTTTTGGAGGAAGGAGATTTTTAAAAGATTTCAAGATTTTAAAGATTTTAAAGTGGAAAGCGTTATAATGAAGGAGCCAAAGCAACAATAAGTACTGAATTACTTCCCTTCATTGCACTAAATTCTTCGAAGTTACTTACAGGAGCCACAAAAACATTTTACAACTTAAGACGCATGCTATTAATTAAGTCTACAAACACGAAAAATATGTTTTTCTACATGTAGATGGTTTTTCAACATAGTTCCACGCAATTCTAAGTGTGATAACAAATCTAAGACTTTTAAAACAATTACAGTAAAGCTTATATCAGACCTAAAGCCCATGACCATTTTATCCGACACTTCACAGAAAAGTTGCATTAATAAGTTAAGAACATCTCAGCTATAGTATGAACACTGTTTACCTTGAAGTACCAACTTTGCCTATTTAGTACTGCGAAAATATTCAACTTCAGCTAACATGGCAGTGACCAAGAAATTCAATCATCTTAGTATCCTCTGAGCAGGACAGATTTGAAAATTTTCACGTGTAAAGTACAGTCCTTAAACTGTCTGAAATGCTGCTACACTGCCTTTATTTGTTCGAGTTGAAAACCTCTAAGAGAACAGAACTTACCAGCCTCTTTTGATTTAATACTTGTTCTAAAAGAGTAGGTCTTGATGGGCGATCTCCAATGGCTCCTGTTCTCTGTTTTGTGACAGAAACTGAACCTTCAACACAATCCTAGACATCAACCAAAAAAAAAAAAAAAGAAATAGAGAAGTGAGATTACATATTCCAATATAATGATACATTTACTTTTTATCATAGAAAAGTTTGAAGAACAGAGGATCTGTTTGCCTTATTAATCTGCAGAGGGAAATAACAGCACCAGAATGGAAATATATCTATCCGAGAATTAGCCTCTTCTCCTTTCCACGTTATTTTCACTATTCCTTCAGTCACAGCGAACAGAACTCCAGTAAAAGGAGCTGAATTTGTCTTCTAAATTGCAAAACTAACCAAGTTACTACAGGTAGTTGATGAGTTGAATTTATTTGATTACTTTTCTTAAAAAAAGCCATTCTACACAGCCCAATCTCCAGCTTGTAGAAGAGAATCATCTCACATTTGCAAGTGGGTAGGAATGACAATACTTTTCTTCTAATAGCAAAACAAACATACAGGGAGATGAAAGAAGAAAATTTTGCATCACTGCTACTCCATTAGCTCATTTTAAATTCTTGACAATATTACTCTGAACTTGCCAAAGCCACAGACGATTGAAAATAAAATCTGCATGCTTTTTATTCTTAAGTTTATTCTGTTCCTTGTACAATCACCAATCACATGAACTAGACTGCCTTCGAAACAATGTGGCTCTAGAATCTCCTGTAAAGAAAACATTCTTGGTTTGACAAATTTCAGTCATAACTTTTAATCCTATCTGTTTTAAATTCAAAACTTACTGACACTTTCTTGATATCTTAAACTTCTTCCTCCTGCCCTCCCCTTTCTTCCCATCATAAAAAAAACTTGATACTTCCCTTCTACTTGAAAGGGTCCTGGCAAATACAACAAAAAATGTAATCCAGCATCTCTCATTTCAATCCTGTCCATACAAGTACAAAATGCAACTTCAATTAGGAACCTAACTCTAGCCCCAAAAGATACTCTCATCAGTGTTACGGACATTTAGAGTTTACACGCGTTCAGTAAACACCTGGACAAGTACACAGAAGAGAGATTGCTGAGAATTACAAAATACGACACAAAATCACATCTGTCTCATCAAGGCTCCTGAGCTGAAATAGAAAGAAGCTGTAAGAAATATTTCACGGAAGCACCATATATGCTTGTTGTTTTTCTTACTTCTACAGGATCTGCTTTGTAGCTACCTCTGGAGACCACATGCTAGGCAAAAACATTTTTGGTGTGATCCCAGTATTATTACCATTTTATCTTTCATAAAAAAAAACCAAAAAGACAGGAAAAATGTTTTTTGATGGTTAGTTTGCAGTTAGATCAGCTCCCAGATCACGGTCACAAAACTCCAGAGACAGCTGCGCTAAAAAAAAGGGTTCATTTAGTAGGAATGTCAATTTGTGCCAGGTAAAAAAGCAGAGGTCAAACCGCAACCTTTTTCCTTCTAATAATCGCGACTTTATACTTTTCCATTCAAATACAAACTAGCCAGCATCTTCTAGTGTAAACCAGCTTTTCTCTAGCTCATCTAAATATAAGATTTTACAGCCAAACTCATTAGTACCAAAAACCACCATAAGCTGCGTTATCTTAGCTCACAAACTGAAAAACTACTTTAAAAAGCTGATGTTAGCCTCAGTTCTGCCACTGATAATCCCTATTCCCCGACCTAAACAATAAATACAAGTATATGAAAGCAAGTACAAGCTATTAGTGTTCCAAATATCTAACTATCAATCGCTAAATTTAAGAAATAAGCACGACATATCTCACGGTCCCTGTGTGACTCACGTGAGTCTGCACTATGTTCTGACACTAACTGCCTGTTACCTTAAGCCCAACATTTCAGTACGGCGTGCAAGACGACTGCAGTTTGTCTTAGACCGACGCTTCCATCCTCCCTCCTGCAGAAGAAACACGTGCAGCACAGTGAGGAACCCTTCAGCAGCAACTTCGGTTTGGGATTTTTGGCTATAACTGTGGTTTGCTGTTATTTACATCGGAAAAGAAGAAACGTGTTGTGCTCTTGCACCACAAAAAGAACGCACTCTACGACTGTCCTTTACTCACTGTGCAAATCTGCAGGCCTTTTTTTGTGTGTTTTCGTTTTGATCTTTTGGAAGGCTTTTCTGTTGTTGTTTTTTGCTCGGGGGAGGAGGGTCTCACTCGACCTGATTTTCCACGGCAACAACAGTTACCATGAGGCACCCCCCCCCAACCACAGCGGCCCCCCACCAGAAGACAAACACCAGAGC